TGCTCCTCCGTGTCCACAAACAGGAGCAGGAGGCCGGCGATGAAGTTGAGGCTCTGGCAGTATCCAATGCGAGGGTTGTAGACGGCAAACGCCAGCAAGACGCGGCGCAGAGAGGCAATCAGCGGCGGTTCGCCCTCCAAGCCAACGGGACCGGGTCCGCTGCCGTCGAGGGCTGCTCCCCTCACCGTGGACTGGCTCGCCCGCTCGCTGCTGGTCGTGCTGTCGAGCATGTCGGCGGTGGCCTGGGAGGGTTTGAACTGGATGTTGTCGGGAAACGTTCGGTGCAGGTCTCGCTCGATGGCCTCGACGTCGACGTGCTTGGCTTGTCTCAGCAGCAGCTTGTCGTAGAGGCCCCCGTGCTTGGCCAGAATGGCCGGTCCGCCGGCGTAGTAGAACCACGCGGCGCCGCGCCAGTCGGGCGGGATGCCCTTGCGTACAAAGCGCTTCGTCTTGGCGTTGGGGGCCGGGAAGCGCTGGGGCCGATCCGTCATCAGGGCGCTGTCCTTGAGGTAGGCAGTCCACTTCTTGCGGCGGCGGGCGAGATACTGTGAGTACACCTTGTCCCAGGCGTCGTACTGCTGCCGGGTGATGAACTGGTTCTCCTTCTTGAAGCCGTACCGGTCGCGCGAGCCCGGCTCCTCGGGCTTCGGGACGGGGAGCTGCACGGATGGAGCAGGGGATACCGATCGGGAGCCGGGCATCGAGGGCGGCGAGATGCGCGACGGGCTCGGGCTGGGCGTGGTACCTCTGACGTCGGTGCGGAGGCCGTCCGACTCTACCGACGGGTTCGACTCGACCGTCCTCGACGAGTCGCGCTTCTCCGGGAACTCCAGGTCGTGCTCGGGGTCGTGGTCCAGATCGTGGTCGTGGGTGAGGGCGGGCACGGTCGACGTGAAGGCCGTGCTGGAGAAGAGCATCTTGGACTGCCGAATCTCCATGTCCAGCGCGGAATGGGTTGCCGGCACCGGGGGCACCGGGTCGGCACTGAAGTCCTCGCTGTGTATGCGCTCAGGGCCCGGCTCGGACCTTGAGGTCGCAGGGCGGTGCATGACGCTAATCATGTTGTCAGGGACAGCGTCGGTTTCAGTCTCGGCGGGCTCTTCTTCTGTTGCCTCCTCCTCCTCCTCCTCTTCCTCCTCCTCGTGAGTTGGCAGCGGCGTGTGTCTGTGCTCGACGCCCTGTCCGTGCTCTAGCCCGTGCTCCTGGTTCAGGTCCTGTTCAGGCTCCTGTTGGCGGTTCTGCCCGAGCTCCTGCTCCTCCTCCTCGCGCTCTTGTGGGTACTCCTGCTGGCACTCCGGCTCTGGCTGCTCTGCTTCTAGCTGTGCTTCGTGGGGATAAGAGTCGTAAGGGGCGGAGCCGTAGCCAGTATTGTACTGGTCGTCGTATGGGTAGTGGTGGTGGTCGTATGAGGGTTGTTGGCGGTGGTGGTGGTGGTGGTGGTAGTAGTCGTCTTGGGAATTGCGGGTGCTGCGAGGGGGGTCAAAGTAGTCGTTTTGGTTGGTATTATTGTAGTGGTTGTTGTAGTCGTAGTCGTCGTCGTCGTCACAGAAGCCTCTCTCGTACATGCCCATAACATCTTCCAAGCTCGGTTCGTCTGCGTCTGCGTCTGCGTCTCCGTCTGCTTCAGCGAGTGCGTTTGCTTGGGCGTCGACCTCGTTTCCGTAAATCGACAGGACGGAGCTGTCCTTGGTCAAGACGCTGCTGCGCTCGGTGAGGGCGGTGCCAAAGGCAGATGATGATG